CTGAGTTTATTTAACCAAGTGAAATTGACCGACTAATTGTCGAATTATAATAAATCGTGCTTCGTGGAGTCATCGGAACCGGTCCTATTCATCAATAGAAAAAGGACCGGTTCAATCTCGACCCATGGAATATCAGAAAAATTGAAGGCAAGTTAACCCTAGTTTGTTTGGAAAAAAACTGAAGATTGTAATAACATCATTGAAATTCTTCCCAAAATATAGGGAACAGAATTTCTGAGCCTAGTTGACCTTTGTCATGAAATTCTTTTCGGCCATTAGAAACCAAGAATCAATGAAACTGAGAGGACAAAGAGGGTTCGTAGGGGGACAATAACCCTAAAAAAATAAAAAAACCAAACCAAATAAAAGCGACCAAACAAATTTATGTTTTTTTATTAATTTTTTAAATTGGGAGATTGAATTCCGAAAAGAAAATCCCACCAGCAGGAAAAAAGAGGATAGTTGAGTAAAGAAGAAATAGACGTCAGAAACGGCTGACTTATGGTTGGTAGAGAATTAAGTCAATCGTAATTCATAATTAAATTACACGAGGAAAGATTATCATAAACACACGAAAGGAATAGCTACAAAGCTAATCTGTGTGCTTCTTGATTTGTTTGATTTGATTAATATATTATCGAGGTGATTGACAGATGATCGTTGACCTCTCTCGATCTATTCCGAAATTTGGTTTTGAATGCCAAAAAAATGGATAGTCAACTGAGCGAAGAGAAAATAAATGTAAAAAACGAACTCATCGTTGATGCGTTAGGTTGATAGAGAATTACAATCAATCATAATTCGTATCTGAAGTAAAGAGTATAAGAAGATAAATAACAAACATTACAAACACACAAAAGGAATAGCTACAAGCTAATTTGCATGCTTCTTGATTTGTTTGATTGATTAATATATTATCAGGTGATTATCTGGTTTCAACGCCATAAGAGTGGAGAATTGATCGAGTGAATCTTGAAATAAACTTCAGAAACGAACTCACGATTGATGTTATGTTGGTAGAAAATAAATAACAATGATTATGAACACACAAAAGAATCGCTACAAGCTGATCCTTGTGCTTGTTTGTTTGATATATTATTAGAGTGATTAAGAAAAAGATTAAACAAATGAGTGACTGACCTCTCTCTCGACCTAGAGCTTAGCTATTGGTTCTCAATGGCGCCTATGGCTATAGCTGCTTCTCTCTCTCTCCCCACAACTTTCTCTCTCTATCTTTTGCTCTGAAGAATGAGAAGTGAAGAATATGAGAAAGAGGGCAGTGGTATTTATAGGCAAATGAAAAAGCAAAAAAGAAAAAAAAAGGGAATTCCCAAAGGGAAATTATTTGGAATATTAGGGCTAAATTGGAAGGGTTAGAAAAATAAAAATCATGTTCATAATTTTTCCTTGTATGAAATATCCATTATCCTAGTGGACAGCAGCCACGTGGACGTTACCTTGTCTGTTAAATTTCTTTCCCAAATTCTTAATCTTTCCCTCTTTGGTCAGATTCTTTGTTTCTTCTTCCCTGCTTTTTTTTATAATGTTTTATTGTTTTCACTATTCTGTATACATAAACAAATAACAGTAGTAAAAGAAGATGAAGTTAAAAAAGTATAAGTGCATTATGATTCACTTAAATGATGTTAAGTTCTTACATGAAATATTAAATTAACATTTATATATGCATTGTCAAACATGCTTATGATTTGATTAGCCATCTTGATTGTAAGTCATTGGTGATTTAATTTGATGTCCAAGTGTGTTAATGTTCAATTATTAATAATTGAATGGTTTGCCTCGATTCAATTTCAACCCTCCCATTGTTTAATTTTTAGCTAGTTATACTAATTTGACCACATTGATCATTCTTAAGTGTGTATCCAACAATTTTGTTAATTCAAGTATGTACATAAGGGCTCATGAGTTATTTGAATTTGTTGACAAGTAAAGAGGGAGATTGAGTGGTAAAGTGTGATAATTGTGTATCTAAATGCTAGGGTTTGGGGAGAGAATGGCTTTAATCTCTCAAATGATAGTACTGTAATAATGTCCATTGACAATATAACATATCCATACTCGAAGGACATTTCATAGACAAGCGAAGCACTAATAAGAGTGTCATATGTCGGGATCTGTTGATAATAAGTTTCAATTAAGTATAACCATACGACGTTACGAGGGTGCGATGATGATTGGATGAACCAATCTTACGCGTGAGTATGAAAACCATAACGTGTCTAACATAGATCAAACAGTTATGTTGATCGCTCATTTGGCGGTGATTGATCAATGATATACAAGTTCAGTTACATTGAAGTATGCAAGAAATGATTTAAATCCGTGATTATGTTGATTGAAATCGGTTACGTTGTCTGCAAAAAGAAGTGCAATGCAATGCACACTGATTACTGTGCTACACAAGTCTGGCAGTTGTGTACAATAATTGACATTAAGAGTTCGAAATGTGAACATAACCTATAATGTGTCATTCAATTCGCTTATATAATTAATTTCTTATTCATCAAACAATCGTATGTTATCTCACACATGTTCATGTTTTTTTTTACCATCTAATGGTGATTGGTTCCATATACATGAACTAATGTGTTGATTCTTACCCGCTCCGATTCAATGTCTTTGAAAAGTTGAAAATAAGAACAATTTGATTTCAACTTGAAAGCCGGGAACGGAAAACACAGTCGATTTGTACCACAAAAGAAACTAGGAGAAATTGGAAACAAATGACAAAAATATATTTGATAATCAACCATTAAATATGTTTCCTATGAATTGCCAAATATCTCGTCTGTCGTTATCTTTTTGAATCTCTCGTGATTTGTTTCTTATTTCATCTATCCACCTCTTATCGTCCTCATTCTTCTCTTTATCATAATTTTTCTTTATATGTCAGCATGTTTTGTAACAGAGTCCTCATCAGAGAATTTTTTTTTCGAAGTCAACCGTATGAAACTTTTTAAATTATTTTTATGGGAGACCGTGTGAGTGAAGAGTCGCGACAAAATAATCTTATAGTCATTGGCCAAAGTAGTTGTTCTAGCTAATCTTGCATGATTTCCATGAGCTATGGAAGTCACCATGATCTATGTATTTGCTACATTTGAGACGAGAGAGTCACATTGGTGGCTCGATGCAAATATTTGCTGGCTCAAAAATGTCCCGATGACTCACCATTAATCAATACATGAGAATGAGCAGTAAAAATATAAGTGAGTATTCAATCCATCAATTTCGTAGAAAAATCTATTTAGAATAACAATACCAACAACATACCACTCCCAATTAATATAATCGTATGCTGCCTTTTCAATATCGAATTCAAATATCACATTCTTCCCGTTTATCCAAGGGGGAAAAAATTTGTCCATGAAAAATAATCTATTCGAGAACCAACAAAAAAAAAAAAAAAGAAATTGTGTGTGACAAGTGGCATTTTAACCTCAGCATGAAACGGATATTGAACCGTTACTAGTCATAATTGCAACTTTACTTTAGGCATTCCAATAAGTAATTGCTATGTTGACTCTTTATTTAACTTCCATATGTGTACTTCAATTTCAATAGTTCATTTAGTTCTCCTCTTTAATGCATATTTAAAATGTCAGTCATGTATTGTTGACCCCTTTTTCCCACACTTTTTTCTTTAATTTTTTCTTTCGTTGGATCTAATTAATTAATTTTTATTTTAGATAGGATCTTCTCCTTATTCTTTTTTTTTCATTGTCATCTTTACAATAAATATTTTTTGATCGTATCTTTACAATAAATATGTTGATTGGTATTAACATGTTCTTGTGGCGCAAGGTAGACGAGAACAGTCAATTTCAGGAGGGGGCAATTGAATATAGGGTGTGATGAATAATTTTCTCAATGGGGGCCTTTATTATGATTGAGATTGTGCCATTGTGGGGTTTAGGTGTGCATTGAATTGATGTTTTGAGTCTAATTAGGTTTTACTTATGATACTTTATACATTGGTTCTTCTTGGGGAGAATCGTGCAGCAACATCAAGGGTGGATACTTGTGACTTGTATGTGGCTACATGCCGGCATAATCCATCTCGTTGCCAATATGCTGAGCTTGGTCTTCATCATCGGTGTTTCGTCTTGAGCAGTAATTTGGATTTGGTAATTGTCTCATTTTTAGGGTTTGTATCATACATTCACTATCTCTATAGGCTAATTTCTTGGTTACGGTGGTGGGCTGTGGTCTTGTGGCACAGTTCGAATTGGGATCATTTGCTGTTCCTTAGAGCCATTGGTGCAAGTATCTGAGCTGCATACCAAAATCAAAATGAAATTGTGATACATTCTGAGTGGTAGGTCGTTTACCACGAAAGGACTTTTTTCTGAAGCCACAATAGAAGTGTTCATATAGGAGGAGAACGGCCATAACGGTATCTTCCACAATTTCATTGTAAATGCTCCAGGGTTAACGAGTTGAAGTTTCTGGTTTGTTGGTCAGAAAATGAAAGCAGGGAAAACCAAAATGAAATAGGAGTGTTCATATAGGAGGAGAACGACCATAACGGTATCTTCCACAATTTCATTGTAAATGCTCCAGGGTTAACGAGTTGAAGTTTCTGGTTTGTTGGTCAGAAAATGAAAGCAGGGAAAACCAAAATGAAATGCTCCAGGGTTAACGAGTTGAAGTTTCTGGTTTGTTGGTCAGAAAATGAAAGCAGGGAAAACCAAAATGAAAAATCAACAAAAAAGTTAACTGGCTTCGCCCGGGTTCGAACCGGAGACCTTCAGTGTGTTAGACTGACGTGATAACCAACTACACCACGAAACCGCATGTTACTTTGGTTCGACAAACATATAAATTATACGAATGAAGCTCCCTGGAAAGGCATGCTTCCGTCATTGTTTACCGACTCAAACTAATCCGGACTCAGGAGAGTTAAATATTCGTGATTCATGGTCATCAACTAATCAATCAACCGAGAAAAAGAAAGCAATTGTCCACTCTCCCTGAAAATGGGCTTCCTGAATTTGGCGGCGACGGCATTTGGAGTGGTTACCCTGCTCCTATTTGGGGCAGCGGCGGCGGCAGGTGGAGCTCTGGACTGCACCACCGTGACAGGCCTGATCTCGGCGTGCTCCGCTTTCATCACGTACGGCTCGCCGGACCCACTTCCCGGCTCCCCTTGCTGCGAAGCCATGACGACGCTGGGGACGGTGGCGGAGACCGGCGGGAGCAGCGGCGGCGGCGTTTGCAGGTGCCTGTTGGGCCTCATCGCCACCTACAACCCCAACGCCACCGCCATCGCTACTCTCCCGGGCTTCTGCGGGATCGATATGGGCTTCATCATTGACCCAAATACCGATTGCGCTTAGTAAGTTTTGATTCCCCCCTTTCTTTCCAATCACCTGGATTTCAGCCCAGGCCCATTACTCTTTACCCAAAGGCCAAAACTCATCTCCTCCCCTGTTTTCCCCTGCAGTGCTCCATGATATGATTAAGGGTCGCTTGTGGAAAGAAGAAATAGCAAATGTCAATCAGTTAGTAGGCTAGGGCTAGAAGGAAAATGTTGGGAACTTGGAATAAGTGAAATGTTTTTGCTTAACCTAATTTACATTTCCCTATGGTAAGTCAAAACTATATATATATATATATATATATATATATATATATATATATATATATATATATATATATATCGATATCAATATCGTAATAGTTTTTCTAGTAAGAGCTCCCCTGCTACTACTGTTAATGAAGCTAGAAATGATATGATTCAAGCTACAGTTGTTCCCCGTTGTTCAAAGAACAACATTATTGTAACCAGAAAACCCTGTCTCTGGTCGATGAAACAACAGAGGAATGGGGAAGGATTTTGCTTTCTCGTGATGCATTCATGCATGCAATGAATGTCCCCTTCTTCCTAGCTGGCTGCTAGAAACACTCTGCCTCTCCCTCGAAATCTGCAACCATGTGTTATGTCAACAACAGTAATTCATCGAGTAGAGACAAAACCCATCACCGCTAACTCATGTTCATTGCTTTCCTTTTGGTATTTGCATATGGACAAAGCAAATCAGAGAGAAAGTTGTGTTTTACTGAGATTTTGGGGGGTTCACTTCAAAAACATTCCTACACTCTGCCCTGCCATTGGAGTTTTGTGGGTATCCAAAGTTGCAAACTTTTTCCGACTCCATGTGGGATGCAGAATGGGAAGCTGTTCCTTCCCAGCCGAGATCTCGTTTTATTGCAATTCTGTTTGTCACTCTTGTTTTTAATGCCCTGAGATCCAGACAAAAGGGTCATTCTCTGGCATTCATGAGGGGCTTTAACGGCTCTTTTACCCACTCGTGAGGTCACAGTGGAAGGAAGGGAAGAAACTATGGGCGCAGCAAAAAACAGAGGAAGTTGCATCTCAAAACAAAACGGGTAATGAAGTTCTGTCACTACTCACTATACCATTTCATTTTAACAAGCACACAGTTGATGAATTTTGTTCATTACCTTACGAGTGTGATCAATTCATGCTTAATAAGTACGTCCTAAATGACCATGACTCATTTTTTTCAAAATCTGCATTCTCCAATCCTCTCAATTCAGCCTCCTTAAGCCGCAAATGATGATTCTGATAACTTTTATCTGGGAACACTATGGACATCAGCAAAGGTGACATTCACAGATTTTCTGAACTCCACAACAAGACTGTTAAAAAAAAGATGGACAAAGGTTACAAACTCTCTCGAGGACACATATTAGGTGAGATCAAGGTCAACAGATTTACAAACAAAATGGCAATGTTGCCACACTGCACTCTCACAGGACTAAAAAACAAACAGACAAACAAACGAAAAGCTGCAAATTAACACCATGTAATTATGAATTATGATCTTAAATGGGTACTTCCTATTCTACTGAGTCTACCAGGACCCAGAAGATGATGACCCTTGTTCCTATACTCCATATGCTGCTGCTGATGCTGACCAAACCCACATTCCGAGACGGTATCACCACCACAATCATACACACCATCCTTCAACGACTTTTTGCTCCAACCTTGTCCGTCGAACTCCACTTCCCTCTGCCTCGGGGCGCTCTGGGATCTCAACCTCGCTATAGACGATTCGGTGTTGGCCATGTAGTTAGGGTAGCTCGTGTACCCGTTGAAGTATCCCCACGCGGATTCACTCCTCGTGGGGGTGAATGGACCACCCTTTCGGCCACTGCTTCCAGGCCTAGACGATGAATATGGGCTGTTGTTCTCATTAGCCATGAGAACTGCTTCATCTTTCGACGAGAGTAGTACTCTTGCAGAGTTGGAAGGCCAGTTCATTGGTCTTGTTGTCGACGACTTGGTTGGGGAATCAAAGGGTCTGTGGCTCATCTTGTGTGGTTTCATGTTGTGTGGCTTCCATGTGTCCACTTCGAGTATCTTGTCCATCTTGTCATCGTCAGAAGGTCGATTCTTCATGGGAGAGCGAACTTGGTGGTTGCTGCTGCTGTTCAATAGACTCTCTTCCATCCACCGCTCCAACCAATTCGAATTCGAAGAACCGAGCTTTCTTCCCTTCTCGAGATCAGCAGCGTCCCTAATGTTTGAATTCGAACTGCATCTCTGCTTGCAACACATTCAAGTGTGAGGTAGGGAGCTTTTCAGAATTCATTCTATCCAATTGAAAAGCTGAAACTTGCATTTACAGCTAAGATTGATCAATGCAGCAATAAAAAGGTTGTTATGAGAGAAGGGGCATTGATTGATTTACCTTGAGAACCGAGGGGCCATCAACTTTAGTACTACTACTACTGTAAGGTTGATGCAAGTGGTCCTTCTGAGGGCTTCCAGCTGCCTGCAGGTGAGAAAGTAGTTACATAAAAAAAAAGCTGCTGTCATCCCAATTGGTGTATGTTAAAGGTGAATAAATTCTCCTTTCATACAAATTCCAGAATTCTCAGCAATGATGCTTCTGAAAAGATTTCACTTTCAGTTCATTATTTAGGTGAACAAGGCAGGGTCTAGTGGCATGTGGTCCTTTACTTCATAAATGGAAACCAAAACCTAATAGATGCTCATGCCAAAGCATTTGATTGATGATGGTAGGTCATAATAACAAACATTGGCTGCAACCCCACAAGGCAATGACAAGAGCTTTGGCTTACGTTGTAGCTGCCGAAATGGGCGAACTTGGTGGACGAATGGAACGGTTGTTCGAAGGGAAGCGTTCGATTCGCTCGAGCTCTGGTCTGGACTCTCACAAGAGTCTGCATTCGCCTGAGCATATCAGCTGTCTGCTTCCTCACAATGTGGCCTCTCACCAATGCCTGCAGTTTGACCAGGGATTTCAGTGCTCTTAGAGCCCTCCTTGCCTGTGCACAAAACCAAAAGAAAAAAAAAGGGAAATGATCACCTCCATTCCACAACCGACATATATTCAAAACTGCAGCAAATGTGAAGTCATGTGACACCAGCAGCAACACAGCCCGATGCTAGGCTGATTAAAGACAAAGTGGAGATATAGTACCGAGGGAGGAGGAGGCAAAGTTCATAACTTCAGAGTCAAGTCTTTGGTACTGGTGCCAAAGGAGGAGGAATATAATATCCAGAAGAGATAGATGTTTTCAAAGCTGTGTATGGAGTATGGACGTAATCATAATTATACCCTTAATTAAACAAATGTGACAGTAGCTAGGGGAATTTGTTTTTAGCCCACCAGCAGGCGGCATCAGCTTTGGATTAGTCAATAAGAAGAAGAACCAAAGTCGGTAGCATTGTCCCACCTTATCAGTTTTCTAGCATTAAACAAATTGCAGGAAAACCCAGTTCTTTAATGATGATTAGGAGAAGCATATAAAAACCAAGTCTGCTGCTGCAGCAGGTAATAGCCAGCCAACAACCACAGCAGAGAGTTCTCACGGGGAAATCATCTCCAATGGCAGTTCTCAGGGGGAGTGGGGACAGAAGAACAAAAGGACAGCAGAAAGGAACACTGCGAGAACCCAACAAATTTTCTTAATAGCTCGAAAGATTCTTCCCGGTAGGAAGGTAAAAAGTATTGGACAGCTGCAGCAGCAGTTGCAGCAGTAGTAGTAACAGGGCCTGGAGAAAGGACACGAGTTGGATTATAGAAGAGTCGCCCTGTGACCCAAAAGAAGAAGCGACGACTCTGACTGACTGCCTGCCTCTTTCACCAATGGTCAATAACAAAAACAAAAACCCATCTCCCCCACCACCACTTTCAGTTCACACCTCTTTCTGGATAATGGGTTAAGAAGAGCAAAGCTGTCAACTTTATGGCGTATTTATTCTTTTTCTCTTCTCTTTCTCTTTTCTCTACTGTTGACATCAAACGAGAGACGACGCGTTAACAGAAAGAGAGGGATGAGTGGTGGTGGTGGGCAGAGGCAGAGGCAGAGTCCGCTCTCTCTATGCCGATGTCATTAGAAATCTGTGGCGAGATCTTCTTTCAATTTGAACCTACTAGTAGCTCTGTCGGCGCCACATACTAGCCACGGAATCGTTCTCTTGTTTGTTGTGTTTAGGGTTTGGTTTGGACCACCCAAAACCCAACAAAAACAAACGAGCGATAAGTTTCTGGGTCCAGATCGAACCGAGTGTGTACAGTCAATTTCCTCACCCTCTAGTCCATCCCCGCCCAGAAAAGAACACCAGGAAGAAAACAGAGAAACGTGGGGTCATCCTGCTGATCAGCTCCGGGGAAAGAGATAAACTAAGGATGTGGAAGTGAAAAGAATCAAAGCTTGGTTTAGTGAAAGCTCTGTTTTAACAACTTCCAAATTACCTAATCTGACTTTGTCTATAGACCTTCACAGCGAGACCAAAACAGAGTAAAAGTCACAGTTTCAGAGTTAAATTCCACCCATTAAAGAAAAACAGTAGCAATTTACACAGGCCATCCCCTGTTTTGATGAGATGGAGGATTGACGACGACGTGCATTGAATTAGAGGAAAAGGCAAGATGGTGTCATCAAAGTCGAAGTATCGAGAAAAGTATTATTACCAATTTCCTCATAAATTTTTTTAAAAAAAGGCAGCTTTTTGACACAGAGAATAGAAAATGAACCCGTATCAAGTTCGAGCGCCCAATTTCCATTCCTCTGTTCCTATTTCCTTCCCCAAATTCAACTTTCTGATCAAATTTCTGGACTTCTAGTAAAATCCCATTTCAGGGGCAGAACCTTAAATTACGTGGGCTGTTTTTCAATCACCACCATTAACAAATTCAATCGATGGTAACGGAGCTAATAAAGGGATTGGATAAGATAAAGAGACTAACCAGATACCCACGAAATGCGGACTGAATTCTGACCGCGGCAACAGCCTCCGCGTACCGGCGGTGGCTTCCCGCCACCTGCGGCGAGGCCACACTTCTCCCTCCTCCTCCTCCGTTGCTGCTACTTGTCAGCCTGACCACCTCTGCGGCAGCCTGGGCCGCAGCCAGAGCAGCCTCTGCCACCGCGGCAGTGGCCGCGGCCACGGCGATGGCATGCTTATTCGCGTCCAATCCGTCGCCGTAATGAGAGTCGTTGTTGTTCTTGGCGGACGGCGGGAGTGGGCGAGGGGATCTACCGAAGCTCCACCGCCGGTTCTTGTCCTTGGAGGAAGAGCTGCTCTGTTTCTTGAGTCCGAATATTCGCCGGAGAAAGCCCATAACTCATAGTTTGTTTTGATAGATACCGAAAAGGGTTTTGGATTTTCGAATTCAAATTGGCGAAAGAGGTCCAAGTGAGAAGATGAATAAGAAAACAGAGTGAGGGAGCAGGGGAAGAAGATGGAGGAGAAGAAGTGAAGTAGTGGAATGGCTTCTTTTGTAAGTGGGGGAGCTAAGAGAGAGGGAATGGGTTTTGTGAAGGGAGGTGAAAGGTCTAAGGTAGACGCGCCGTGGGGAATGTTGGGATCGCACGCGCTTTCTGTTGGTATGCGAGTTGTGACGGGGAAGCTGAGTAGTTGTGTGGAAAATGGGCCAGTGATGGTTTCGTTGCCGCCAAATATTTTGTTCTTTGTTCTTTTTTTTTGTTTTTAGAATTATGTGAAGGTTAATGATGGGAAATTAAGGATGTAATTAAACTGAAAGGATTAGTTTGATTAGTGACCCATATACGAGGTTTTTTTTTTTGAATTTGAAGTTTGGGTGGAAGGCAATAATTTGGGCAATAATCAAGATTCAAGAGTGAGCAATGCATGCTTACTAGCTAAGCATCAAGTTAGTTTTACTTTCATGATAGCCTATTCAAATTCGTGAGTATTTCCAAACCAAGAGATGAACTTTCAAGTTTAAATCCTTTTCTTCTCCAAGCCATAGACTTTGGAGAGCTACATTTGGAGGAAGAGAATTTGTGTTAGATAATACGAAACCGAGATCGACACAGATTTACATGATTTTCTCATTTAGTATGAATGAGACTAGTTCAGAGGACGAATCCTCACAAATTATTATCATTCTCTTAAGTCTTATGTCGGGGACTTACCGTTCATGCGCATATATAAGCGCAACCTGTTACCCGTTACAGATGGACTTTAATATAAGAGTCTTAAATACATTAATCATGTCTTCTAACACCTTCTCAAAAATTGACGAGGGATGTGCAACATCATTTTTCGAGATATATAAGAGCATCGACTCACAATAAAGGCCTTCATAAACAAATCCGCCAATTGATATTCCGAAGCAATATAGAAAATTTGAATAGACCCATCTCAAATAAGAGCACGAATATAGTGAACATGAACCTCAATATACTTCGTCCGATCATGTAATACTAAATTGGTTGCAATACGAATAGCACTAGTGTTGCCAACATAAAGCTCAAGAGGAACTGTACACGTACGACATAAAGTGTGCCCAAACTCGACATGTTCGATTTGCTAGTACCCGAAGGAGTCTCTCCTCCACTACTTGTTCACCTGTTCTCATGCCATTTGTGCTTGGAATACTATTTTTCCCATCTCTTCCACTTCCATCCCAAGATACATCATGTTCTACTAGTTCTGCTCACTCAAAGGTACTGTCCACTCGAGAACCCTGATCCACATCGTCATCCATTGCTGGAATGTCTGGAAGGCGAGGAATGAGTTCACTTTCAAAAATAGAATTCACTGGGCCCCGAATGCATGTATGAAAACTTATAAGGACTTCATTGAATATACGTCTTGCTTGAGCCCCCCCTACTCCTCCCTCTCCTACTCAGCTTAGGGGAAGGGGAACCCACCCTCATACTAATCCACCGCCTAGTAATCACTCAATGGTGATTCATTGTGATGGGTGGTTCGTCAGTGACTCCCAGTCGGCGGCTTATATGATATTGTGGTTGTTAACCACCATGGACAAGTGTGTGATGGGCGAGCTGCTATTCTAATTTGTTCTATCTCGATTAAAGCAAAAACAAAAGCTCTTTTGGAACGTCTCAAATCACCACAACAATATGGCTCTTAATGCGTGGTTTAATCAGATTGCCTAGTGTTGGTTAAAGCATTATCTCAAGAGTCAAGACTCCTCGGGTTGGCCCTGGCAAGGTGCGGCATGGATTGGCTCAATGGTATCAGTTCTCCAAAGGAACCCTCAAATTAAAGTCAAGGCTGCGTCCAGTAAGTTTAATGTTATAGCTGATTGTGTCGCTCCTCTACCAGATGATTTTATAGATATTCTTGATCTAAGTTCTGATTTCCTTTGATTGTAACCTGGTTTCCTCTATTCTCTTGGTGGAATAAAAGTTGATCTTGTTGTATACAAAAAAGAACATAGGAATTCCCAAGTTTGGAAACTCAACTGCTTATCTAATAGAAGTTAGGAAATTGAAAAAAAATCAATAACTCTTCTGTACCAAACACATCTGGCCAGAAAATCCATCGTTCTGGTCTGTAAATTGTCTCAATACCCAAGCTAATTAAGATAGATTATATGTAGGGCAGGGAGGTGGTTGGGTGGAGAGTAGACCCAAAATTGCATTTAAATCAAAGCTTGTCCTTGTGAACTAACTGATGAAATAGGCAAGTTCAAAGAACATTAAAATATGACTGATTTAGGGAGCTCAATTAGGTAGAGCACGATAAATGTTCATTAACACAGCTTGTCAAGTTGAGTACAAGCTCGACTCAAGATGAGCTTGATTTGAATCATTCTTGCTGAAAATGTGTAAACATAATAATTTGAAGGATAAAAAGAACACTAGATACTAAAAAGAACAACTAACTTCCACACACATCCGTATTAACAAGATAATGTTCATGTTCAAAAGAGTAATTCATTCTTCCACAACCTCTAAACAAGTTAGCTCGCAAGCTTAGCTCAACAAGTCACCGAATCAAGGTAGCTCACGAGCTTATCAAGCTGAGCATGGTCTACCTCAACTTTGGCTCGTTTACTAACGAGTCGGCTTGTTAAATAACGAGTCGAGTGTCAAACAAGTTTTTTTTTATTCTAACGCCGAGTTGATGGCGAGCGGCTTAACTTATTTGCAGCCCTAACCGACAATTATAAACTTCTCTAATCATCTTTGGCTTAGTTCGGGTGAGCATATGATTGAGTAGTGGCAGAGCCAAAAATTCGAACAAACGAGTTGAATTGAATTGTTGTAATTGAGAGAGAGAAGTTAAAGACTTATCGACTATTCTAATTTTTAAATTTATACAAAATTTACATAGATTTTTACCTAATATTTCAAAACTGAGAGTGACTATGGCCCATTCTAATTTCAACCTAACTCCACCACTATGATCTAGTCTATATGGTCTGGAGTGAGATCAAATCGCACTGTACATCGTGGTACAGAAAAGGAGGAGGTAGAAAATGAGAGCACGAATCCAAACCAGAAACACATCCTGTCATGTTTAGTATGGTAAGGTTTTCGATTCAGGTGCTCATTTTTGTTTCTTTGTTTTTAAGACCGAATCACGAAAATTAAATCAAACCAAATCCAGCTTGGTTCGATTTGGGTCGGTCCAGTTTGTTCCGGTTCGCACACAAAGTGTTATCATCATTTGTAGGCCATTTGATTAGGTTACTCAAAAAGCTAAGTTATAACCCAAAATCCGAGATTTCGTCAAGGTGGGATGGATGATCATCAGCTAGGCAATTCATCACGGGACACAAAATCAAGTTTAGCTAGCTGGGGGTACTTGATTAGTGATTGAAACTTGACAAGTAGTCTTAAATGATTCACTGGCATGGACCCGGCCTCTTGGCCGAGATATCTAGATTTAGTTTTTGATAAATTAATATCATTCTATATTAATTATTATGGTATAATTTTAGGCAAGATACAGCGGTATATCCACAACTATCAGGTTTGTGACAAATATATTCACAACTATCGAAAAACACGAAATATCCAAAAATCGAAAGATTGTGTGACAAATCTATCCACTTCCGTCTGAAACTATAACGGCGTGTCAGACGGCGTTAAATTGACTAACGGAATGTTGAATCGATGCCATCTCACCTGCTACATAAGCCAAAAAGCAACCAAACTTTACACGTAGATGCCAAATAGGCTAGTTGAATAAAGGCAAAATATTATCCACAACTATGAGGTTTGTGACAAATATATCCACCACTATCAGGTTTGTGACAAATATATCCACAACTATCGAAATACACGAAATATCCATTTTCGTCCACTCCGTTAACTCCGTCAGTTAAATTGATGACTGGACATACACTGGATGCTTATTTGGCGTGTTTCTGACCCCACTGAATGACGTGAATTAAAAGAGAAAAAAATTAAAAACCCTAAAAACCACAGACGGCGAGACTAAAAATCCAACCCAGAAACACGTCCGATAACCATTGATCCTCCTCCGATCGACGCCTCCACCCCCAAATAACCCTACCCCAAGCCCATATTTCGATTCCAACCACAATTCCCAACCATTGCCTCCCTTTTACCCCGACGGCTTCCACGCAGTCGGCGACATGGTGATACACAAGCTTGAATCTCAAACAAAAAAAGCTTGAATCTAACCAAATCGCCAATAGAGAAGACTGCATCAGCGAGGTCTAACAGATAACGGTGTAAAGTTTGGTTGCTTTTTGACTTTTGTGGCAGGTGAGATGGCATCGATTCAGCATTCCGTTAGTAAATTTAACGCAGTCTGACACGCCGTTATAGTTTCAGACGAAAGTGGATAGATTTGTCACACAACCTTCCGATTTTTGGATATTTTGTGTATTTCGATAGTTGTGGATATATTTGTCACAAATCTGATAGTTGTGGATATACAACTGCATTTTGCCTAATTTGTTCTCTTTTAATCCACGTCATTTAGTGGGTCAGAAACACGCCAACTAAGCATCAACCGTCTGTCTAGTCATCAAGTTAACTAACGGAGTTAACGGAGTGAACGAAAATGGATATTTCATGTATTTCGATAGTTGTGGATATATTTGTCACAACCCTGATATTTGTGGATATACAACTGTATTTTGCCATAATTTTATGTACTACGAAGCAAAACTATCATGGTATTGCATGATAGTATATGCCTTAATTTTTGTTGTTCCAAATTATATTAAAATGAATGTCATTTTTAGAAGCACAAATAATCTGATTTTTCTAGGCAAAAAAATTGAATTTTTTATTAAAAGGAAAGATATATACTATGTTAATTTAATTGAATTTTGTTTATGCATAATCAGTAACCAAGCGTGTTACTGACTAGATCCGCTTCTAGACTAGGCTGCACA